TTTTTTTATTATTATATATTTACGCTTTTATATAATATTAATTAATTTTCGGAATTATAGAACAAGTTTGGCTCTAGCGTAGTTGGTTAGAGCTTTGGTTGAATAAGGAGGGGGAAGGAGGTCCCAAGTTTGAATCCTCCTCCCCTTGTTTATTATCATTTTTAGACAGAATTACAAAAATCGTCCCTATGATTTACCCAAAGTTGCGAATCCAGTCCCTTTATACTTGAAAAGACGAAAATATCCTTGCTAATTCAGTCCCTAACGGCTGAATACTAACGACGTTAGTAAAAAGGGTCATCTGTGCAAGTTTTGCAAACCACAGGGGCCATTTGCATCAAAAAAAATTTATATGGACTAACTTTGTTACTTTTGGCAAACCACAGGGACCATTTTTGTAATTTTGTCCTTATAATGATTGTGCCACATTTATTTTGATTATTTTGGTGACTAACCCTTGGTTTTCGTCGATGACACTAATAATTGTACTAAAAGAATTGATAATGATAATGTTTCCCTATTCTTTCGTGTAACCAATAAAACCCAATTTTTACTAAAAGAATTGATAATGATAATGTTTCCCTATTCTTTCGTGTAACCAATAAAACCCAATTTTTAATCATTTAGGTGATCTAGGGTGGAAGTGTCATCTTTCCTCTCATTCCGTATTAACAAACCAGGTGTAAAACAAACATTTAAAGAATGACATTGGATAGAAGAAGATAACATTCCATTCATAATAATAACTAACATATTACGATGAATAGACTTACATTTTTTTTAAAGACGATATATATTAAAAGACTAGCTGGAAAGCTAGTTGAGCACAATTAAATGACATGTACACACAAGCACCCAGGTATCAATTTACGCTTTGTTTTTATTTTGTCCATTACTAAAATAATGTCCGATGATTATATTTCCTTTTCTAGTCAATAAACCCCATTCTTTATTTCTTCCTAAATTTGTCTTCTTGAGTTTTTCGTTTTCATCCACTTTTTTAAAGATTTTGGATATATATCAATATTTTGGTTTCTTGATTTGATTTATATTTTCATAGTAAAGGTGGATTCATTAATATTGAACGCTATAAATTAGAAATTTCTTATTATTTTATGGGATCTGATTTTTTATTTAAAAAAAATCTTTTTTGGTTTGGATCAAAATTTTAAAGTTTGGCATTAAATTACACCTAATCCATTGTTTCCTATTTTCAGGAAAAAGACATGAAAAGTGAAAAACCAGGCCACCTGGCCCAAAAGGTGTTATGCGGGCCTCCAAGAAATAAAGAGTATATTTTGATAGACATTAAATTTGTTTGATGTCGGATTATTTATTTATCGAATTAGAATATTTATTTCAAATTTGTAACACCATCAATTATATAACAAAAAATAAAAACAAAAAAATCATATTAACATATTGCTACAGATCATAATTTTCTTCTTCTTCAATAGGTGAAGGTACGTCTTCATTTTCCCTTTTAGGTCTAATCCATCTCCCAAATTCATTCGAAACCAACCCTTTGTTCCTCAATTGATACCAATATGCAGGAATTCTAAGCTCATTTACAAGCATATCACAATACTTATTCACAAGTGCCAAATCCCGTTTAGCATCCGATCGAAAACTCGAATTGCTACTCACAAATCCATCAACAAGATGCAAATACGTCTCAGGATGATGAACACCGATGAAATTCGACCCACGTTTCAGAAAAGGTGAAGCTCTTGCATCAAGCTTCAACTCTGCTCCAACATGGTGGTAAACCCAATCAAGGGTACCTGTCAAATCGTCGAATTTTTGTAAAGTTTCATTGAAGACGATACCTGGCATTCGAGGGACTAGATCTTGTTTGATTGTGATCCGTAGTGCTTTGACGCCTCTGTGGTGGAGTTCATCCCTGAATGCGATGTTTCCGACTCTAGGTGCACCGAAGGAGATCACGCTTATCGGAAGAGTTGGAAACGTCATGGCGGCGTCGTACGCGTTCAGTAAAGCTAACGCGCCGCCCAGGCTGTGGCCGGTGATCGTGAGACTCACTTGTTCGCCGGTTGATTTGTAGAACTTCGTTAATCGCTTTATCTCTTCAATTACTTGCTCCGATGCACTGGTTTTGTTGTATCGTGTTGACATACGCTTCGATTTGTAGATACTCAGAAACCCTCGCTCCACCTTCGCTTCTCCGTGCCCTAATGGCTCGAGATCTCGTTGCATATCTTCATACCATTCGGAAGGAAGCACAGTGCCACGCCACGCCACCACGATGTCTCTTCTTCCGATCGTCTTCGATTCCAGATCATTACTCACAGCAATGTAACCCATCCAATTGGAATCCTTACTCCATGTATCAGTCACGTATGATTTCTCAAGCCATCTAGGGATTTCAAATTGCGACATGGCGTAAATGTATTTTCTCACATCATAACCATGTTTCGTGAGCCCTAATTTTTCGAAAAACTTCCGGCGATTAAACAGACAGCTTCCACAATACTCCGAGAACGAATCAAAATCAAAAGCGTCGTATGTCGCCTGAGAAAACTCGCCATATTTAATCAACTCTCTACGAACAAAAGGATGAAGCGGATCAAGGAGGTTTTCCCAATCGGAACAACCGTGGATGTCGCGCCATATACTCGAAATGTCTTCCTTCGGTGACGTCGTCGGCAACTCCAGCTTCGCCTCCGCCTGAGCAACAACGTTCCAGTCATTACGGTGGAGAAAGTTTTTGAGCGATGGCTTTTCGATATACAGATTCAAGAGGTTTGAGATCGATTTCGCTAAGCGAGTTGACTTGTTTGATCTCTTATCACCATCGTTAATGGCAACCTCGTTGAAAGAAGCGGTTATTACAAGGCGGCAGGCGTGGTTGTGCTTAGCAGCTGAGAGCAGTTGGTGACAGTGGTTGACCGGATTCAAAGTGGCTACCATGTTAACCGGATTAGGACTGAGAATTGAACGACAGGTAGAAGAACTTGTTTATATAGTAGAAGAAGAATCAATAATATACTAAAATTGCTAGATCCAGAATAAGATATGATGTTTTATGAATAATGTACAAGTTACTAAATCGGTATGTGTTTGTATTTAAAAGTTATTGGTGTGGAAAATAGAATTTCAGCTTAGGCCCATCTAGTCAAAGTCGGGCCGCGTTTATTCGAAATTCGTTGGAAGTAACCCAATTTTGGTCAAATGACATGTATTCAACATGTGTTCACAAATTTTCAAATGTTTATAAAAGTAGCCGGAAAATGATAGTAAATACTTGGAAGTTGGAAGTTGGAAGCTGATATTTGAAAACTGGTCACTGGTAAGTTGCTGGTGTAATTTTTATTTGTATTGAAGTGTTCGAGAAAAATAATTGATCGGTTGTTGGTGTAATTTTTATTTGTATTGAAGTGTTCGACAACAATAATTATAAATTTTTGAAATGTGTAGAATTATATTAAATCTAATAATTAAATGTTCTTAAAAGCTAATAGATCTTAAAAATAACTTTTAGATTCTGAAGTTTTGTTTGAAATAAACGTTTTAAACTCATTTGATTCGATTTTTTTTTGTTAAAAGTTAAAAAACTAAAATTTTCTAGAAGTTCTTAAAAACACATTGTAAACATGTTGCAAAATTAATTAGTTTTAACATTGTATTAAACTAATGTGTTTGAGCTATGTTTAGCATTTAATTATACAATTACCGTAGACTATACTTCCAGTAAAATATCTTAATACCCGAAAAAACTATATAAAACTACGATTGTGTCTTCTACTCAATTACATATTTCCAAAAAGGAAAATCACATTAAAGTAACAAAAATCCAAGAACAAAACAAGCTCTCAGTTCTACACTTAAATGTATAGTGCTAAATTTAAAAAAAGGAAAAGAAAAAAGTGAGATACAACATGTTGCCTCTTAGGCTAAGAGGTGTGGTCACCTCTCGCTTTTCCACACCTCTCATATTCTCACATCAAACCTCATCCTCCTCCCCTCACTCCCCAGTTTCACCTAGAAAAAATTTCACCTTTCATTTTCCAAGTTTTAAGAAGTTATACAAAACAAGTGAATAAATAGAGAGAGAATAAAAATGAGAGGAAGAAAGAGCACACCCATGAGACCAAAAAGTGAGTAAAAAGGGTGGGTTGTGTACACCGCAACCCCACATCCAATTTTGTACTCACTGTATAGATGCAGTGAGATTGCACACCTCGCTACCTCAACCTTACAACATCTCCAATGAGAGTGTGATAGGAGTTGTGAGGGTTGATGTGGAGTTGTATGGGTGTTGTATGTAGTGGCAGATCTAAGATTTATATAGGTTGTGGCACAAAAATATATTATAATACAATTTTTTTTGGGTCTGATCAAATGGTTAATGACTTATTAATCACTAATTACTGGTTAGAATTTCTATAAAAAGATACCAAAGTCCTTTTATTTGAGTGGGGGACTATAGCCAAATAGAAACCAAATTTAGGAAAGATTTTGAAAATACTTCAAAAAAATAGACCAAATCTGAAACTATGAGTATAGGGACCATATTTGTAATGTGTTGAAGAGTGGTAAGGTGGATTGTACTACTGTATTTTGGGGTTGTACGATGATGATATGGTGGTATGTATTTTTTATTTTATTTTTTATAAATATATAGAGGATAAGAATTGTAGATTAGTAAAAAGTTACTGATATTAAAGTTAAATAGAATTATGAACATGTAAACCAAAATTTATGAATATGTTATTCTATCAATATATTATATAAGAAAAAATAATAGTAATTAATATTAAACTTTAATAGCAATAATAATTTAAATATAAAAATTTAATAAATAAATAAACAGCCTAATAAGCTCTGTTCCTTGTTTGAATTTGGTTTTGAACATAGTAAAAATGATTACTCTTTGTTTATCAAAACATGACAAAATTGCAAAAATGGTCCCTGTGGTTTGTCAATTTCTATGGGTAAAGTCCAAAAAAAAATTTATTAGCAAAAAAGGTCCCTATTTGATGGTTTTGTTGTGGTTTTGGTCCCAACCTCGTTAAGTTTAACAGCATGACTGTTAACTTTTGGCAAATGACGGATTTACCCCTAGGACTATTTCTGCAGTTTTATCTTTTTACCAAACTACAAGGACCAATTATGCAATTTTTCTTTTTCATTTTATTGAATTATTATATATTAATTATTTTAATTACTTTTTTCTTTTTAACTTTTTTCTTATTGTATTGTTTTTTTATTGGATTATCATATATTAATAAATATTATTTTTAATATATTATATTTATATATTAATAAATATTACT